TCGATATTAAACATACATCTGGTTTATCCAATTGTGTTGCCGATTGTTTATCCAGATATCCAATTGAAAAACCGGATGACATCGTCGAAGAACAGCTGGAGGTAATGCACGGTCAAGTTAACAACATTCACATGGCTATCTCTTCACCATTCGACTCCAGAAAAATCCAAGAACAACAGCAACAAGACAAGACAATCAAATAATTATATGACCGATTGACACGTGGACAACATCAACAATCATACGTGTTAGAAAATGGCATTTTACATAAGATCTTTCATCGACCAGATCGTATAACATTAAAACTACCATATATTCCGCAGTCGATAATCGATCAATTGTTGCACGCCTATCACGACAGTCCGACAAGTGGCCATTTAGGCGTTAATAAAACCTGGCATAAGATCCGTGATCGATACTTCTGGCCCGGCATGTACAATAAAATCAAGGAGTATGTATTATCATGTACCAAGTGTCAACAATTTAAGATTGCCAGAACAAAACCAACAGGCAAACTGCAGCCAGTCGAACCACCAGCTGGCATATTGGATCTCATGGGACTTGACTTTATCGGACCGGTTCCCCAATCCTCCAGCGGTAACAAATATATTTTAGTATGCACAGATTATTTGTCACAGTATGCCATCACTGCAGCAACAGCCAACTGCACGGCTGAGACAGCAGCCAAATTCTTGGTAGAGAAAGTCATTTTACAGTATGGTGTGCCTAGACAATTGTTAACCGATCGGGGTACTCATTTCATGTCAAATGTTTTCAAAGCAATCGCATCTAGGTGTGGTGTCACCCATACAACAACAACAACGTACCATCCACAATGTAATGGTCTCACCGAAAGGTTCAATGCAACACTCGCTGGATCACTCGGCACATATGTGAATCAACAACAAAGTGACTGGGATGAGTATTTACCCTATGTGACTTTTGCATACAATACATCTAAGCAATCAACAACCCAAATGGAACCATTCAAACTCATGTATGGTCGTGAAGCACTACTTCCATTTGACTCCCAGTTCGACTATCCAACTGTCTACCGCAAATGATTACTACGCTCAACTCACCAGATTTTTGAAACAAGCTAAATCAACAGTACGAGACAACATCAAACAACAGCAGAATGTATACAAGCGAACGTACGACACCAGACGGCAAGATTTACCACCACTGGAACCAGGACAGTTGGTACTCCTCCGGCAAATGATGATCAAGAATCTACGGAAATTTTCACCAAAGTATTATGGTCCATTTATAGTGATACACCGAATGGGCCGATTGAATTACCAAGTAAAACACGTACATGATGGTCACTTCGAGAAAGTACACGTTTCAAGAATCCGAGTTATCATCTAGACATGAACACAACTCATCAAGACCATTTTTAGAAACGGCATAGCGACAAAACACAAGTGTGACAGCGTCATGTAGGAAGAAGGTGGCAGATTCTTCCTGACCCGGTTAACATGTGACTTTTGTTTTCTTTTATTTTCGTTTTTCTTCTTTCTTTACTATTGTAACGATGAGCGGGACGCTTCATCTAGTGGCAGGAGAGGTGTTAGGAAGTAGTTAACCTAATCTCATATCAATAGTTGTCATCTTTCAATATACATACTCTTATCGTCACTCGATGGTTATTTTCCCTTTCTGTTCTTCTGATATATGTGTTCACTCTTCTGCTTTTTATGATATGTATTTCTGTGGGTATTTTTGTTCTTGAACATATTCAAGGGATCTTCCTGTAGCTAAAATATACTATATATAGATGTTAATTTACTGAAATAAAGTGTGTGTAACAGTTACATTCTTCTTTGGCTATTAACCATTGGATGCAAAGCGATTCCGAAAGGAATAACCTCACATTGGTGCACTAGCCAACTGTTTGTTAATTCAACACCACAAACAATATTATAGTGTAATGAAGAAAAAATTTACGAGTCTAGACGAGCAAGATCCAGTAACATGGCTACAAGATATCGAAGAATTGTTCGACGCCACAAAGACCGACAAGACCGGTCGACGAAGATTTCTGTCAATGTGTTTTGATGCCGATGTGAAGAAATGGTATCGTAGTAGAGAGCATACGAGTGATTATGATGAATTTAAGAGCGAATTCATCCGCGCATTTTCACCATCGGCACAGAAACTAAAAATCTCATCGAAATTAATCANACTGTGTACACGATTCAATCCGGACATGCAGGATGAAGAAAAGATGGTGTATCTGCTACGTGGACTGAAGCCGTCGATACAGCAGCACGTAATAAGCAATAATCCAAAACAATGTGCAGATCTGCTGGAACAAGCACAACGGGTAGAAGCGGCAGCCGCAATCACGCAACTACAACCAACAGTCGCGACCACAACAAGAACCGATTCCATCGAAGAAACGACAGCGGCTCTCCGTCGAATAACAATTAATTCCGACAATCGTCAAAATGACTATGCTAGTCGTAATAATCAACGCTATTCGAATTATGATCATCGATGGCCTCAACAATATTACAACAGATGTACTATTGGGTGGCGATTTTTGTGATAAATACAACGTGAACATTAGCTATAGTGAAAAATATTTAACCATCAAAACGAAGCACCTGTGAACAGGCGTCAGATTCTTACAACATACGAATACACAACAAGTATTTAATGTCAAAGCGATGAACAACATTGTCATTCCACCGCTGTCATCAAAGCATCGATAAAGACAATTCCGA